AAATAACCAACCTTGAAGTTCACTTTTAAGTGTGATTGTTAACAAGATAATTATAAAAATTATATAAAAAATGGATTTTAAACAAACACGTCAAAAAATATATTGTAACATTCACATGATCATTTTGTCTATCAGAAGTTTTTAAGTAAATTTGAATAGTTAAGAATCTATTATTTTTCAGAGTTTTTCAATAGAACAATTGAATATAAACAAGAGAATAACATTTCATAAAAGTAAAATAAGCTGGTCCAAACTGTAATTTATCACTTCATGTTTGCACTCTTTATGTCATTTTAATATTGAACGTTTTTGAAACAATTTGAATACAGCCAAGTTTGTCTTTGTTTATGCTTTCAGAAGGAAGCCAGTTAAACTCGTCTTTAAGAACAAATACATTTATGTAGTCCTTTTCCTCTTCCATTGTAATTTCAATAATTTCATACAGGTGTATTGGTTCTGTTACTTGTCTGTGAAGTCAATGAAAGTATAGGCTGTTCCTCCATTGGAATGTTTATGTCAGATTTATCATCCTCTGTACTAGAATAAAAAAAATCTATAATTAACCTTCAAAGCACATATCTTTGCAACATAAACTTTTAAGAGTGCAATCAACTTAACATAAATGCATAACATAACATCTAATAAGGAATTACACATTTATAAGCTATAACTAACAGCCTATGAAAACTGAACCAAAATGATCTCGTAAAAGAACTCACACATGTTCGATAGCCTAAATTTCACCAGTGATTTTACAGATATTCTTCTAGAAATGTATTACATTGTCAAATGAAAGTTTAATAAACTATGATTCTAGATAAAATAAGGGAGTGTTGACATAATGGTCCAGATCTCCGCCTCTCAACCGAGGAATAGTGGACTCAGGCCCGTCCATGTTGATTGTTGAACACAGATTCTTTGTGAATAATTTATTATTAAGTTGATTTACCTATATTTGACAATTTATCAATTACCTGTGCAAGAGGCACGTGGAACCATTTCATAACATAATCAACGCAGTGTGCAATGGTGGGACATACACAAGTCATTGCAATGACTTCGAAATAACAAATTATTAGGCTTAATTATAATATAATCCTTTTTAATTTACTTACCATTGTTTTCCCAGCAGCTTTTTTTCAACAAAATGGCGGATGCACATGTGTGTACATTCGGAATACTTATATTTGATCCATACATAGACTTAGACTGTCAATAAGCAGTTAACAGTAGGCAGTGAGCAGCAGGCTGTCCAGTTAGCAGTAGGCAGTGAGTAGTAGGCTGTCGTTTATGGAATTCCGTACTTCGGGCCTTATTTATTTATATAGAAACATTTCCGATAGTGTGATTAAAGGTAGTTTGCCTAATAAAATTCTTTAAAAAAACGGTGACAGGATAAATAGAATAATAGATTGGTGCCGTGGATGGAGAAAGTTTATCTGGCTCTGCTCCGGAATTATTAGGTTCGCCTTCGGCTCACCCAATAAATTCCTCCGCCTCGCCAGATAAACTTTCTCCATCCACGGCACCAACCTATTATTCTCTATACATACGCTACAAAAGTACAAAGAATTGCTGTTTTTTTGTGGAAACATGCTTTTCATCGTCGGAGATACATGTTTACTTAATTGGTATATCAACGACATATACATGTACATTATTTTAATTAGCGTGTCCAATAAAGCTCTTTTAGACCGTTACGTAGTTGTGCAATAATTAGAGCTGCTTCATAGTCACGTGATAATACTGCTTCCCCTTCAGCTGGTTGTCATAATTTGATATTTGAGGGATAGCAACAACGCATCGTTCAGGACACATTTCCTTTTGATTCAATTTTGTTTTGTTTTGTGAATGGAAATAAAGTTCGTCTTCTGTTTATTAATAATAGCTATTGAAATTTCGTTTATATCTTTTAATTAATATTTATCGTACGATTTCCTTTATCTTTTCAGTATCACATACTTGTAATTGTTGCCGACGGTCAGGTTTCCAGTGAAGAAGCCACAAAGAAAGCTTTAATAGAAGCATCGCATTATCCCATCTCTATAGTAGTTGTCGGTGTTAGCGATGGTCCTTGAAATCAATGAAAACTTTTGACGATGAACGTACCGAAAGAAAGTTTGAAAATTTCCAGTTTGTAAATTTTCATGAAGTAATAAACAAAGCAGAAAATCCAGAAGCTGCCTTCGCACTAAATGCATTGATGGAAATACCAGAACAATGTAAGTACTTAAAACAGATAGGCCTTTTAAAATAATCAAAGATACAAGTTGAAACGATTGTACATCGTTTCGTTTTATTCATTTTGATATATATTAATCCGTAACATGTATAATTTGTATTATGAGTTAGTCCAGCTTTAAATCTGGAACAATTTATTCTAAGTATAAGGGATTTAGATTTCATTTTTTTTTTAATAAACTAAGAGCTTAGCAGCATTAATTTTTACCTAAAATTTTACTCATCCCTTCTTTGAAATCTACATTATTCATTAAATTTTGTAGATTATTATTACGATCAATACGAATTTGATTCTTTATCATATATTTCATATTGGTTAAAAATATAAGGAAACATTCAATGATCGTATGGAAATAATCACAATCGATGCATCATAGCGAAGAATTAAAACGGTCTTTCTGCTGCTAAACAATAAACACTTCATATTTATCCGCCACAATAGCTCGGTCACTAACATAGGATCTTGTACAATTAGTATAGTGCAATGTACAGGAAAATAAACGATTCGTATTATTTATCAAAGTTCATTGAAGGGACAAAGGAATGATGAGATAGATCATGGACATCTGTTGTTTACAGGAAAATGCCAAGCTATACATACTTGCTGAAAGCTTTCAGTTTGTCCCTTGAGAGCTTTGCAATAAGTAATCAATGAAGAGTTAGAATTGTGCAGAATGCCAATTATGGAAGCAATGTAGGAGGACATGTGGCCCAGATCACCGGTGTGTCAGTTGTACTCGTATGTTTGGACATACGTCACGCATAGAAAATGTGAGATTTGATTGATTTTATCAAAAGTCATTATAATTGTCATTTCTTCCATTTTTTGCATAACATCTATGTACACATTGATACAATTACGACGAAGTCAGCGTAGATAAATTACGCGAACATGCAAATTTGTAAATTTATCTGATTCAGAGCGCCATGAAAAATAGCTGATTGGTCCGTTTAATACATGCACGTAAAAAGCATGAGCCCCGAAAAAGCATATACTTTAATGCATGTAGAAGTCTCTGAACTTTATTAAATTTCTCGCCCTGTAGGCTCAGGCTTGTAAACACGCCTATTATTGTAGCCATAGGCGTATGCGCAAAAAATGAAGATTTATATTCTATTGTACTTGTCAAATTGTTTGCTTTGGTTCTTCTTGAGAACGTGATATTTGATATAGGTTACAGAGAAAACAGAAACCAAGAACAATTAAAAATGAATTTCACAATATCATTTTATTCAATGAGTTAAGTCAATTCAATGAAGCTACACAAAATAATATCATTATGGTTTACCAAAAAATGTTAATTATGGAATCGAACAACATTTCCATTGAGCTTTAAGTGCAATGCTAACATTTAGTGCGGCGTTACGCTGTTTGTATAACGTTACGTCAAATTATACGCTCGGTCGTATAATACAATTCTTACCGAGGTGCGAAAATGAGCACAGTATGTAAAAAATTGAGTTTCCTTGACGTTGAGACGGGGGATTTAGAATGGCGCTTTTACTTTATGTCTTTTGAACAAAACAGATAAATGCAGACAAAGAGGTATCCGCGCTTATAGATTTTATTGTATTATTTATAGAGAGTGAGATATAATCCTGGTTGCTGAGTGCTTGAATGCGAACAATATTAATTATGAGAAATATTTTAAACAATTGTAAAAATCCACAAAATATGTTTAAGGTAATTGAAGATTTAATTCTAGACTGCAGATGTGTCTACACCACATCGATGAAAAGAAAAGGCATTTAATTTCGCATCCTCATGAACATCTACACATTTAAGAGATCCTGAAAACAGGATAAAAATGCATTTGATATGAAAATTTGCATAAAAAATAAAATAATTGAATAAAATGAAAGAAGATTTTCGGGCAATTTTGGAAATCTAGCATATTAACAATTTTATTCTGGTCATTTAATAACACAGTAATTGTTCATTTAATTACACAGTAATTGTACGAAAATTCATGCAAATATCCTAGTCTACGAACGTGGGTGATGTGATGCTAATACCACATTTGCAAGGTCCATAGCTTCATTATGAAACAATCATTGCATAATATAAAATCGGTATACAGTTATCTTACAAATTTAAATACAGATTTAGGTAAAAGAGAACTGTACAATGCAATTTATCGCCAAATACAACAGCGTACAATATACCTGCGAATATTGACTAAAATTAACAAATAAAAACTTTTACGACATTGATATGATAAATACTTCATTACTTTGATTTCAATATGTAAATGATTAGCATATACATACTTTACAAAGTCCAACAGTTTGCTGCTTACGACCGACCTTTAGCTCCTTCAGGAGAAATAAATTTTGTTATACTATTAAATAGTTTTCATCAGTTAATTATATTGTTTCAACTTAACACATGTACTGTGCAAGATACGAGTTTAGATCCTCTGATACAAATATCAAATATGTCTTTTTGACAGGATGTAACATTTAATCGATGCGAGTGCAAATAATAAACTTTCAAACTTTCAATATGAATATCGCAAAGTAATTAACATAAAGTAATAAATTTAAGTAAAATATCAACAACATTTAGGTCTATAATATACATGTGATGGTAATCTTTAAAACCTCTCTTTTTGTTAACTCAGTTGTGAAATTAACACTGATTGCATGTATAAAAATTAAATTCAAGTTAATCTTGAACAATATATTTATTGAAACTTGACTAATCTAATGCAAAACCATGCGTTTAAACTACAACAACTTACAATTATTCACACAATAATTAAACATAGGTTTGTGTAGTTTGAAGACAAATAAATATTTTTTACGTAAAATATACCAATAATGCTTGATCTTAAATTCGAAACAATTTCAAAATGCTTGTTTATTATTTATGTTATGAACAAAAACTTTTTTTAGAGTAAATGAGACATAAAATAATAACTTATAAAAGTCACCAAAGGTCTAACGTGACAGCACGTTTCGACCGGTTACGTTTTCTTGATATCTAAAATAAATTCAAACTAATACTTGCAACCATATTGACTCATAAATAGTTAACAACCTTGATTTCCGTCTTGGCATTTGCTTAAACCAGTATCAGTAAAACTGTTTTGTTTTACTTTCATACTTTTGTTTTCTGTTGAACATCTGGATAAAAAACACAACAACATACATAATTATTTAAAGCCGTATTAAATGACAGATCTATTTCAATTTTGATATTCATGAATTAAAATATATGAAAACCAAAATATCTTAATCGTTCAGTGTGTTATAGTGTTCTTTTTTTAAAATAAACCTAAATAAATTAAAAGTCGTGTATTCACTTTTTTATATATGTTTAGATACATTTTTGATAGAATCTTTAACCATTCTTACCTACCTTTTATACATCTTCCATTGATTGGAACAGCATTTTCTTTACATACGCATATATTATTCATGCATTCAGCGTTTTCATCAAGTTCACAATCGTCACCATCATTTCCAATACATATACCATTGTAAGCTTCATCTGTGTGATTTTATAGTTAGAAAACTATCGTAAAACTTCCAAAATATCACCAATTAATTCAGCAAAAAAAAAAAAAAAAAAAAAAAAAAAAAAAAAAAAAAAAAAAAAAAAAAAAAAAAAAAAAAAAAAAAAAAAATGAATCATTTAAAAATAAAATAATATAAAAAGGTGCTTCTTGACTTAATCCACTTGCCCCTCATCGCTATGGTTTCGAATCCAGACAGGGACTTTGGATTCTTTCATGTAAGGAAGCTATCGGTGGGTTCTACTCAGGTGTCTGTTAGTGTCTGAAAAATGTACAGTAGGGAACCTGAGGTCTTCCTTCACAAATAGAGCTGAAAAGTCGCCATATAACACTGTGTCGTTGCGACGTAAAACCCAATCTAGAAAACAAATTAACTAACGAGCTTGCGAAAATTACACTTTATTTGTAACATTCAACGATATTTATAAATTGTGTTGTGTAGCATAACTTAAGCGGATTAAAATATTTCGGATATCGGTGTTAACAAGAAAGGAAACAGTTAGAATGTTCTAAAGACAAAGCATTCATTGCACATTTATAGCTAAGTGGAATCGCGTCGCACTTTTATTAAAGTTTTTCGTTCATTACTCGAATGAAACGCCACTGGTCTAGAAAATCATGGCACTATAAACATTATGTGCTATATTCATCACGATAGAAATACAGAGTCATGTAATGTACTGGCAAAACGTATTATAAGACCATGGCACAGACATATGGCAAATGCCCATCATGTCAACATTAAATGTTAGCTATGCAATGTTGTGAACTGGCTAAGCTTATTTTACGCTCGCCACACAAAGCTGACATTCTAGAAACATTTTGATAAATTGAAAGTTATTATTGTCACCAAAAACAGACATAATTACCTGTCTTGCAAATCCCTCCAACTGCACTTGTACCAAAGATGCATTTACACACTCCATTTGCACATTCTGTTTTATTATCAAACAAACATTTTTGACCGTTACTTTCTTTGCACCGTCCACCAAAAGTTTCATCTGAGAAATAAAGTAAATAAGTAGCCATATTAAAACATAGACAATTCAAAACGCTCTTAAGGACAAGTATTATTTACCATTACATGGTTTTTTAACAAAATTTTATTTAAGAAAGCTAAGCAAATAAAGTCACAGCACTTTAAAGCGAAGGGCACCTTGTTTTACGGTTGATAAAATGCATTACTGAACATCAACTGTTCTTGTCAGATAGCAGTCAACTTACCAGGTATACACTTGCCATTCGTTGGAACAGAATAATTCTTGCAAACACAAATACCTCTCTGACATTCTGCATGTTTATCTTGTTTACATGTATCCCCATTGAAGCCCACACAATAACCACCGAGTTCTTCATCTGTGTAAATTGTGATATATAAATCATGGCTTTTATAAGAAAATAATCTTTAATACTTATTGGTAGATGTATGCTTTGTCTAACATCTTTTGTGTGTTTAAAGGCAAATTATGCATCAGAGATGCTTTCATTTTTATATCTCATAATTATTTTGTTAATTTGTTACAGTTTCCAAAACAGTAATCATTTGCTAAAAAAACTTTTGCTTCTTTTGCTTTGTTTGCAATTGGTATTACTATAGTGAATTAGTGTTTTGTATGGAAGTAAAAATACTACTTTGTTTACATTTTGCTACCTAAACAACACATGACTGCACATTCAACCTACTTTCTTCAGTTGTTAAACTTCTAACGTGCTCTAAATCCATTACTCAAAATTAACCAAACACAGGTTGGAGATTTCAATAAGATAAATAAAGGATTTTTGAGGCATAATGTGCCTTTCATTTGTGGTTTAATAATTCACACATGCCACTTAAATTATTCCTGGTACAAGTTTACTTTCTTACTATTATTAATCCTGTACTTTAAACATCATTTTGTTTGAGTTGTGAATTGACGAAGTATCGTTACATCTTAACTCAATATAATACAATTTGTAAAAGATATTATTTTTTCCCGAAAAATAAGAAGTTCGCCATTGGAAAATTAGTAGACATGGTTTCAGAAACAAAGAGAAATATTCTGGTAGATACATATATCAAGTATATAAAGCTTTACCTTGAACGCATATCATCTCTCTTTGACGAGTTCCATTGCGACATAAGCAAAATCCATCAGCACAAATTGTATTCTTGTCATTTTCACAATGCTTCCATTCTCTTTCACACGAACCGCCAGCATATCCAGCTATACGTGAAAATATGTTAGATAAAAATGATTAGATAATTATTGGTTCTTCGTTATTTTACATAACAAAGTCTTGTGTCGCAGTCCACGATATGGGAAAGGTTCTGCTTACAGGTTCTGGGCTTGAGGGTTGCTGTAAAAATATAGAGACGCGCTCTCAGAAAATATCCATTATCAAACAATATTAAGTTTGGCTCGCGCCATGAAAATCTTCAGTACGAGTGCAAATACAAAATAATGACAAATGACACAAAATCATGAATGACAAAATGTAAAATAAAAAGTATGGGATCCATATAGACATTCATATTTACCTGTAAAATTACAGAGACGCGCTCTCAAAAAATATTTATTATCAAACAATATGAAGCCTGGCTCGCGCCATAAAAATCTTCAGTATGAGTGCGCATGCGTGAAGGTACTTAGTGCGGAAATAAAATATTTATGATTGAGGCCCTTACCAATGGTAAGTACATACTTGTTAATAAATGAATGAATGAAGAAATAAATTAGTAGGATGAGTGGATGAAATATAGAAAGGGACATAAATTTAGGACTTCACAAGATTTATACATTACCAAATACAACAAACATGACATGGACATGTTAATTACATAATCTACGGTGTACAATACGGGACATACATTGACAAACAACATATAGAACATTAACACATCAAAAATATGACCCTGCGACACTTGTAACTGCAAGTTGCAAACATTTTCCCTCCAGAAAACCTTTACAAAGCAAATGAAAATAATTTGAAATAATTTGAAATAAAAAAGGGGACATACTCACGCATTCTATTTATAAGATAGTTTGGGTGATCAAATGGCTCCAACCCAAGAAATTGTGCATACGATCCGCCGTACCATATCAGTAATTCTGTCCTGGGTTGTATGGCTCGAAATGCGAGGTAGTATATTCTTTCTGAATAAATAAATATGATTGAGTAAAAAATAATAATTATGAAGCCAAATGAAACAAAATACTTTGTAATTATTCTGATTTTTAAAATTTTACTTTTGAACTAGATTTTATTCGAATGAATTATCAAGAAAAAGGCAAGCAAATAAAAATTTTCCTTTTCTTTTTTCAAAATATTTTTTTCGAAAGAATCATGTTTTATACTTTTCTACAGATTTCTTCTATCCCGTCAATAATGCATATATTTTGTTTATCCTGTGCCAATGCCAATGTTCTTTTAGTATTCACATTTTATGCTTACCAACTAATATCAAAAAAAGTTATAACTGCAGAAAAAGAAAACAAACGTATTTGCGTATACGATTTGAAAATCTTAATCATTTACCTTTCATTGAACAGCATAGAACAAAGAAACAAATTTTTACATTTCATTTGTTCAAATTTTTTTTCTACATCAAGTAAACTTATTTTCAGATATTTTTCTGCTGGGACATCCTCCATTGTCCAGACATATCATTATTTGTATCTTATATTGAATGCCATTGTGCTTCACCTTGAAATTCTATGCCAATTAAATTTTCCATAGCTGCTGTAATTGGGGTGTTCATGTATCTTAACCAGTTAGACTGAGCAATGTTGGTTCCATCTGTCCAATAAACATCTCCTCCGTTTTGAGGCCGTATCTTCATTTGTTAAAACAATATAGATTTTTAGAAGGCATGTAATGTAAAATGTTAGATTCAAAGCATCTCTCGACAGATGAATAACAAAATAATTATAAGAAATTACAAGGGATAACAAGTAAAAGTTAAAAGTACGTTCAATTTATATTTTTGAAACACAGTGTTGTCAAAAATAGAATTTTTTACGTTAAGGCATGGTCTTTTGTTTGAAAGCCTCTGGTAAAGGGTAACAATAAAAATGTTACTAACTCAGTTTGATCAAGGCAGTAATTAATACTTGCTTCCGTCAACATCCCTTAATATAGATTAAAGATGAATTCAAGATTAACATGTACAGTATGCTGCTGTTACTTTAATCATACATATTTATTTAAGCTCGATTGTGAAACAAAAGTTCTTGCAACTTATATTCATCCTTATCCAGCTGATTTACTCGAACTAACAAGCACTTGTGTTATATCAGGAAATGTGGTCGTGACCGACATCAAGCTCGAACCAACGATAACTGGATTTAGAGGCTGGCACATATGCTACTATTAACTATGGTATTTTTTCAGAACTCAGAAATGAACAAAATGTGCTTACTTAACAATTTTAGGACATGTGATTAAACTTAAATGAATTGGTAGAAAAGCGGCGTAAAATTGCATATTTACCGTCCAGCTGTATATACTTGAAACATCATCAACTTCTGGATCAAATGTCCCTTTGAAGACGCTTAAAACTGTGTATGCCTCAATGTAAACATTGGTAAAAACTCCTAACCCTGAGTCGGGAATAGACGATTGTTTAACTTCAAATCCATCAGAAACGGTGTTAAGTGCTCTCCTTGGATCATAGCATACTGAAGTCTGACACAGTGTAAATGATTTGTTAACATTTATACTTTACGAACATCGTTACAACAAGTATATGTATATAATGTTTATATAAAGGAGTATAAGTCAAGTTGTACTCGTACGAAAAAGTATATATGCATTTAAAAAAAATAAAATTCCAGACAGATAATGGTAAATTGATTTCATACTCCTATGTTAATCATCGAAAACATTGTTACATAAGATGCTTCAGTTATTTAACACACGAATATTGTATATAAACAGAATAAAATGTTCCGCAACAAAATAGTATGCTTCTTTCTTCCATGTAATAATTAAACAGTTTGCATAACTAGCATTAATTCGTGCATTCGCCTTTCAGTAATACAGCAACACCAACAACAAAAGAACTTAAGTTTTGATCTCTTATTATAACTTAAATCATATTGGATATACTACTAAACGGAGTGAATATTTTTCAAGCATTATTTATATACAGTTTGGGACACACACGAAAATTGATATTTTGAGCATACCTTTTTGTCGTGAATCATTTGGGAAAATGGTTGCATAATTTCACCATTCCAGTCTTCGTTCTCTGTCCATATTTTTGTTCCTATTAAGACAGACATGTAATATTGAAGGTAATTATTTTACTTATGAAGTTTCAAGTATAAATAATAAATATCCAAAATAAATGATTTATTGTTAATAACCGATATTTGACTATTACATATTATATATGTATAGCCTAACCATATAAATTTGTTCACAAAGTTAAATCAATTATATCAAGATACAAATGATGAGTTACTATCAGTAAACGGCTGCACGATGCCAGAAGCTAATTGCTTTTTTTGAGCAAATCAAAGGTTTATTGTACATCACATAAATATATTAATATCCCGACAACTATAAAAAGGAAACAAACAAAAACATAGTATATTATATATAACTTATAATAGCATTTGATCATGTTAGATAATTAAAGCACTCTATATTCATTTTGATTCATTTCAAAAAATAAAACAACACAGTTGCCGCTTAATACATCAGCAGTTATGCATATATCATATCGCTCTTTTATTATTTAACAAGAGCACCGCTAGGCGGAGCATTATATGCCCGAAAGTGATTTTTTTAGTAAAGATGAAGCATTTGTAAGACATGGGAATTAAATAAAGTATTACCACCTTCAGATAACAATCCTCCTATGAAGTTTGAATATTGTGGGCCAAATGGAACTTAAGTTATGCTCCAGAAACTGTTTTTAGTTTTAAAGTAATAGTGACCTTGATCTTTGACCTTGTGACCCCTAAATCAATAGTGGTCTTTTACCCAATATGGACAATCATACTATGAAGTTTGAATATTGTGGGCCAAATGGAACTTAAGTTATGCTCCAGAAACTGTTTTCAGTTTTAAAGTAATAGTGACCTTGATCTTTTACCTTGTGACCCCTAAATCAATAGTGGTCTTCTACCTAATATTGACAATCATCCTTTGAAGTTTGAATACTGTGGGCCAAATGGAACTTAAGTTATGCTCCGGAAACTGTTTTTAGTTTTAATTTAAGGTCATAGTGGCCTTGACCTTTGCCCTTGTGACCCCAAAATTAATAAGGGTCTTGTTCCCAATATGGACAATTATTTTATGAAGTTTGAATATTGTGGGCCAAATGGAACTTAAGTAATGCTCCGGAAACCAAATTGTAAACGGACGGACTGACGGACGCCAGGGGGCCATATATAACATAATATGCCCGAAATTCTTTCTGGCATTTAAAAAGGATCTCTTTACAATAACTTGTTACTTTATTAGGAACAACTTTTAAATGTTCATGTTAACATACCCTTAGGAGAGCATTCCAACGTACATGTTTTCAGACTTTCAAACAATTCTCTGCGGCGACAAAACCCGTAATTTTCATCACTATCTGGCAAGCACTGATCTTCGCCTATATGAGTAAAACTGTTGTTTTTGATATTTACAATCATACCACAACAATATTTCTCTTTCTTTTCATGTAGATTGATTTATTATTCAAATTATGAAATACAAATAGAATACAACATATTTACATAAACTGCTTACAAACCAATTTCTATCTTTCATAGAATAATATAAAAATTATGCTGTGGAACGTTTTGCATACGCATACGAATTATTATATTATTAATAGCTACATTTTTCATTTTAAATGTTGCAGTTGTTTTCAGAGTAAAGCAGCATATTAAGTATACGAAAACCAAATTCAGACGAATACATGTATTTCAAAAGTGCAAGGAGATTTTATATATGTCTATATTTATATTAAAATGTTTGTTCTGTAATAATTTTAAGACCATGTGATAATTATAAGACCGTGTGATAATTATAAGACCATAGGTATACAGATTGTGTTTTCACTCACCTCTGTGGTTTATTGTACAAATACAAATCATCAAATCTCGATTACATTTAGAATATTCCCCGCCATTACCCAATATACATTCAACATCATATTGACAACTGTTGCCAATATCGACACCTGGAACATGAAGAGAAAGACTAGGCAGTGATAATTATTAAATATATACATTCACTTTTAATTTATATGTTACTGTTTTACATTTTTATTCTTAAATGTAGCTAAGTGAAGGAGCTGACTAAAATCAGATTGAATGTTTCTACACATTACATCGGACAGAATATGATGCTTAACAATGGTTCCTGTAGAGGCTTTATTTACGTTTTGTTCGTTCAAGTTTCTTTTAAAATCGGAATACCTTTGAATTAACATGAAAAAAAGATATAGAAACCGGCTGATACATTACATATTTATTTAGGTTTTACGTCGCTAAAAGACAGTATCAATTTATGTGTGAAATCATGTTTCACGGCAATTTCAAACGCGCAACAAGCGTTTTGTCTGGTACCAAGCTGTTTGACAAACATCATGCATTCATATAATATTTCGACAATATATTGTCGGCGACATTTTCAGCAGACAAAAATGTTCAAACAAGCAAAGTGTTAAATTAACTATTACATTAATTTTTGATCTATAATTGTTATTGGATTAGCCCCTAAATGTTAAAATTTTTCAAACCGTTTTCGCAAAACAGTCCAATATGCACTACATTTGCTTTACAAAGTTAACCAAGTAATTATTCAAACAAGTTAATAAGGTTTAACACCATACAATTTCAATGATAATTACATTGAATATTACAATATTTGAAATCACCAAAACAAAAGCTGAGGTTTCATTTTCTGTGTTTTGATTTTGCAAACATTCTCTCCAATTAATGACGATGTACGTTCTTTTGCTTGATATCTTAACACAGTTTCTATTGTTCTTTTTTCTTTCTTTCAAGATATGTCCATGGATCTTTTATAGATTCACTAGGGTGATCGCAGCCCTCAAATACGTGCATTATAACCCTATTTTATTTCCCCAAATAATAACAACAATGGCAATCATATTTCTAAAATATCAGAATATTACTATTTTTAAAGGACATTGATTCGCAAGCATAATAAGTTAAAAAATATTTATTTCCACATCAGAACGTACATTCATATCGATAACACCTAAGTAAAAGATGTGTAAAATGGCAATGAAAATCTGTCAACGAACGGATTTATGAATGTGTATTGATTACGCATAAGGAGACAGTAACAAGCATTAAAAGTACATATTTGCAACAGATGTTACACCAGGACAATGCTCCCAAAGGTGCAAGGTAAAATTTAAAGAAAAGAAAATTACATTGCAAAAAGATAATTAACATATAATTCCTTTTCTGATAGTTACATGCTTTCACTATGCTTAAGCTTAAGTCAACAAACTTTACAAGAAAGCTGATCTGCATATGTAGTTGTGCACCTGGGGTTCCACATGTGGATTTAGTTTTGTTAAAGTTATTGCCCTTGACTTTGTAAAATTTTGCGATATTTTTATCCAAAAAACTCTTTAGCCTAGACCCATGAAACATTACAGAAATGTTGGACATCATTTATAGTCGTGCATTAACGTATTGCTTTTATATAAATTCAGAGTTTGTAAAGTTATCGCCCTTGAATTTGTAAAAAAAACATTCCAAAATATTATGTCACGTGTAAACCTAAAAGTGATTTAGCTAGAGTCTACAAATTTTACCGTTTTTTTAGCATGGGAAGTTGTGCACCTGGTGTTTTGCGTGTTGCTTATTCAGTTTTTAGAGTTATTGCCTCGATTAACGAAAAGAAAAAAATGCAATTTTCAACCTGTGTCGCATAGCTCACAAGCATTTGACCAGGAGACATTAAACTATGCAGGAAATTTGATCAGCATGTGCAGTTGTGCACCTAAGGGTTTGCTTGTCAATTTGTTTAGTATTTGTAAAGGTATTGCCCTTGACTTATAAAAAATTTGCAAGTTACAACTGTGTCTTGCGTAACTCAAAAATGATTTGACCTAGATTCATGAAATTTTACAGAATTGTTGGTCAGCATGTGCATCTGAGGTTTACCTTTTCCTTTTAAGCAATACAGTGTAACTTCCGAATTCCGGAACTTCTGAAATCCGGAAACTTCTAAAAACCGAACAATTTTTTCGGTCCCGATTTTTTCCCTTTTATTTTCTATTAATATAATACTTCTGAATTCCGGAACTTCTAAATTCTGAATTCCGGACGATATTTTCGTAAAATTAGAGTCAAATCAATGCAATTTTACCTCCAAAAACCGGAAATATCCAAAGGTGTGAAATACATTGTAAATCGAGAATGTTTACCCTGCAGGAAGATTTAATCTCCCTATCGATTGTTTACTAATTAGCGGTGGTCGTGTAATTTGACACGCGTTAAAATCACAAACTGTGAAATGGTATGTTTGAAGTGATGGGGTTAATCAAAGTAATTTACGGCGGTCAGTTAATTTGAAGTGTTTATTAGCGGATTAAATGACAATTAATTGGACAATGTATGCATCAAACGTCTAAAGGGATTTTATTGCATTTGATGTGATAATTAATTAACTGACAGACAGACAGACAGACAACAACGGACGATATGTTAGTTTATGCAATTAACAATATTTCTACAAACTGATAGAAATTCAAAAGCTATGCAGGTAAGATAAAAAAAAGTATTCTTTTCATTCACATCTTTATCTTGATTAAAAGACTATAATATATGATATTACAGCAATGGCCACATCTTCCTTGACATTTAGTGATATTAAGTGGCTTACTCTTGTTCACATTATCATAAACCTCTGAAATCCGGAAACCTCTGAAATCCGAACTTTTTGACAAGTCCCATGGGTGTTCGGTTTTCGGAAGTTACACTGTACTAATGACATAAAATTGAGATTTGAAATTCTAGCAGTTCATTCAGGAAATATCAAGATGCCACCATTGGTCAAAATGAATGTCAAACTTAAACCCTAACCATAATTGGCTTTGGCTGTCCTGTAGAATTTCCTTTGTCCGCCTGTCATACTGTCCTTCTGTTCGTCATTAGACTGACAAAACAGTGGAATCGGGTGACATCCATGTTTAATGGACACATTTCTAGTTTGTAGCTGAAATGTGACAACTAACATGAACAATTATGTTGACGTATTATTCTTTTCTTTTGTGGAGTAAGTTTGTATGTTTGTTTTTGGGTTTTACGTCACATCGACACAGTATAGGTCATATCGCGACGTTCCAGCTTTACTGGTGGAGGAAGACCTCAGGTGCCCTTCCGTGCATATTTCAGGCACGAACGGGCACCTGAGTAGAACCACCGACGTTCCGTAAGCTTGCTGGATAGCTTCCTCACATGAACGAATCCAAAGTCCCTGTCGGGATTCGAACTCACAGCGGTGAGGGGCAAGTGGTTTGAAGTCAACGACCTTAACCACTCGGCCACGGACGCCCAATGGAGTAAGTGGTGACTGAAAATTGTTAAAGGTCTTACACCATAAAACCATGTTTTAACTTCACTTTGTCACTCTGTTTCTTTGTAGAATGTTTAGGAATTTACATAAATGATGATGAATTTACAATAACACTTATTCAAATCTACGCTCAGAGGTTTACCATGCTTAAATCCACTTCAAAAGCATTGAAACATTTTGATTTGACCTCGTTGTATGCCAAATTTGTAGACAAAAGTAAGCCTTGCAAAGTGTATTTCTTTGCAGCAACCGAGCACTTAAAATAATGAAAGAAAAGAAAATACATTTTTCGTTTTTTATGCTACCACATTTGAATATGAGGTGTTTGGTAGCATGTAACATTCTGATATAAATGTAGAATTTCGTATGAGTAATAATGTTAATTTGCATGTATTAAAAGTAAGTGAAAATATAAGTGTATAATATACCTTTATAGCTTGATTCACACAATGCATAATAACGTACAAATACAATCCAAAACAAAGTTATCACTAGCATCTCTATCCTTCACACAAAAACGAATGACAAATACAAGTAATTATCTCATTTTATCGTTTGATATATAGAAACAATACGTTTCTACAGTTTATTCAACACTGCTAACAAACATCTGGTTTAATAGGAAGACTGGGAAGTACACAAATTTAATCATATATAGATGCAACAGTTTAACAGCCGGTGCGTTAGATAAACAAAAATATATGAATGTAATTATTTTGCAAGCTATTGACTGATTTAATCAATAAACAGCATCATGTAGAGTTTAGTGAACTAGTTGTACAAATAGATGTGTAAATGTGTTAATGTTTAGTGGAATAATTAATATCTTTTTGTTTAAAAATAATGAATAACTGTGTTAGAAATTGTCAATTTTTAATATTTTTGTTCCACTAAGGTATCCTACTTAATACACGAGGAACGCCAACCAAATCTTAACAGAACATTGTTGTTACAGCACTAAACACATTGTCTTTTAATTGGCATAATAATATTATTCATTTCAGTATTTTCATAAAGAAATGATTTGTTTTAAAAAAATCATCGTTTTATTATTCTTAAAAAATATCAATTCATTGGCTTTTTGTCTCTTAAATACCAGGTGTCATTTTATACTCAACAATCAGATTGTCAAAGAAATAAACTACAATCGAAATGGCGTTAATTTTGACGTTAAAATTAAACATTATTATATCATAAAGATAAAACCGAAGACTGCCTTTTTGTTGATACATGTTAAGCGTCAGATGCCCTTTTGTATCATACACTTTTATTATCTATTATTATATTTGAGAAATTGTTTTTCAACATAATAATTTGTTATAATAGTCCACCCTTTTATTTTAAACAAATGATTGTGAAAAACCTATGCCATTGTTTATGAAATCATTTTGGTTTAAACAATATTTTATTTCAGCAAATATATATATATATATATACACACACAATATATTACAATAAAATGCAAAAAGGATTGAGTAGAAAGCTAGAAGCTTTTTTAGAAACTCTCTCCTTGAAATGAAACAGTAGTTATTAATGATAACATTCATATATAAACAAAATATTGTATGCTTGTAATTCTAAGAGTTCAATAATAATCCAAGTACAAAAATTATGAAAATGAAACTAAATAAATTAAGATAAACATTAAGACATTGATATACATTAAAAGAAAATTTAGCAAATAGTTTTTTTATTTTATGAAAAAAAAAGAAAAAAGGGGGGAATAATAAAATCGGTATAGAATAAAGAGAGAGAGAGAGAGAGAGAGGGGGAGAGAGAGAGAGAGAGAGAGAGAGAGTTTAAGGTTGCTTACGGTATTGGATTGTGTGGGCCTCTTTATGAGAATCTCTTTGTCTGTTGAATATAATAGTGAACATATTCAAAGACAAATTTGTTAATTTGTGGGTTGTCACTATCACCATATAAGACAAGAGAAAGTGTAGGGGTTGCATTTTCAAGTGCATTGATATTGTCAATTAGCTGTGTTCTTTGAGTTTCAAATAGTAAACATTTAAAAAAGTAGTGATATGTAGTTTCGATTTCACCACATGTGCAAAGGGGACTATTTATGATGTTTTTTGAGAATAGGTGCTCGTTTAATGAACTGCAGTGATTTCTAAGGCGTGTGTGGTGGATTTGTGATTTTCTATCTCCATAGTAAAAATGAACTGGAACCTTCCTTATATCCTTGTGAAGTTTGGATTTAAAATTGTTAAGAGTCGGTGCATTTCGCTCTTCAAGAGATAAAAGGTTCCAATCAGTAACTGTTTGAGGAACAAATGAAGAAGAAAATAGGCGAGTATTACATTGAAAGTTTCTTAGGTTGTCTGCATTTCTTAGGTTGTAGGCTGTGGTACTTCCGACATGGTTTGGAACTAATGTTGTAAGAAAAGAGGGTGATAGGTTATTTGACATTTTATAGAAAAGAGTTAATCTGTGCTTCTTTCGTCGTTCCTTAAGAGGTTGGAAGCAGGTTTCTTCATACAGATTTTGGATAGACACAAGTTTAGTACAACCAGAGATAATACGAAGAGCTTCAAGTTGGATTTTTTCGAGTTCTTGTTCATCGTGATAAGACAAATTGTCCCAGACAACATCCGAATATTCAAGTAAGGGTCTTATAAAGGCAGTGTAAATGATCTCCAAGGATTTTCGATCAAGCACAAATTTGAGACCTCTCATGATACTTATTCTCTGCCAAGATTTAGTTTTTATATTTTCCACATGCTCATGCCAAGATCCGTCACTTGAAAAGGTTACACCCAAATGCTTATGACATTTTACTTCTTGGATTGGGACATTGTTCATATATAGTGGTGGATGAAACGGTTTTGTTTACCTTACGAGAAATAAGAAGAGACTCAGTTTTTGCTGGGTTGAAATCGACAAGCCAGTCATTAGCCCATTTCGAAACTTTACAGAGGTCAGAATTTAAGATATTAGCAGATGCGTGAGGCTCATCGACAATAATGTAGAGACTAGTATCATCAGCAAAGAGTCGAATGGTTGAATTTATATCCTCAACAATGTCATTAATATATACAAGAAACAGCAGAGGACCAAGAATAGAACCCTGTGGAACACCGGAACATATTGGTAGGACTTCGGAATACGTACCGGAAAGTACAACACGCTGAGAGCGTCCAGAAAGATAATCCTGAAACCAGTTAAGAAGAACACCAGATAAGCCATTTACTTTAAGTTTATGAATGAGGCCACGGTGCCAGACGCGGTCAAATGCTTTGGAAATATCGCAAAAGATAGCACGGACTTCTTTTCCTTCGTCTAGAGCTTGACAAAATGTGTGATAGATAGAAACTAGTTGATTGGTTGTTGAATCGTTCTTTATAAATCCAGATTGCAAAGGTGTTATGCAGTTATTAGATATGAAGAAATTAAAGACGTGTTTGTGAATAATACGTTCTAGCACTTTGCTGATTGTACTTAGTAAAGAGATCGGCCTATAATTAGAGGCAATAGTGGGATCGTTCTTCTTAAAAATAGCACAGACATTAGCCAGTTTCCATTGAGATGGGACCTTACCAGTTTCTATTGATTTATTAAAAAGATGAGAAAGTGGATGTGCCAATTCTTGAGATAGTTCTTTAAGTATTCTGTTGTTGATCATGTCGGGACCTGCTGCCTTTCCTAATGTTAATGACTTTAATGTATCTATTACTTCCTGCTGTGTGATAACTATTTTTTTCTAACTGTGGTTTTTTTGATGTAAATGCAAGTTGGGAATTATTTTATTGGAATCATTTAGTAATGTCTGTGAATGAAAGAATTTATTAAGAAGGTTGGCTTTATCATATTCGGAAGTTAAAATGTTTCCATTATCTTCTAATATTTGTATACCCTTATTTCTTGTCGAAGTTGATATATGTTGTTTTAGAATTTTCCAGAAATCTGAAGGTGATAAATTTTCATTTTTAAGTTTGTCTGCAAGTTTCTGTGTTTGTTGCTGCTTTGCTTGTCTGAGTAACGTGGTTGTTTTATTTCTGATCTGTCTGTAAAGTTGCCAGTGATGTGGAGTTTGTGTTTTTTGTGCTTTATCATATGCGCGTTTACGTTTTCTGATTTGTTTCCTTAATTCATTATGCATCCATGGTGGTGATGATTGGCGTATTGTGACTATTTTGTTAGGTATATATTTAGCTGCAATGAGATTGATTGTGTCTGTTAATTGCTGTGTATAGATGTCTATGTCATCATTATGAATTGTATCCCATTGGAAAGAAGAAATCTCCCTTCTCAAACCTACATAATCACCTTTATCATATAGCCATACTTTTCTTTTGAAATTTTGCGAAGATTGAAAATAGGGCAGTGATATCTACAGACTTGATCAAGAAAGGGGTCAGCGACGCCAGATACAGAAACTCTGCAATTCATCGAGACTAAAAATAGATCTATAAGGGAGTTTGAAGAAACAGTATAATGTGTTGGTTGTTGTATAACTTGAGTCAAATTGTATTGTGTTGCAATGCTATTGATTTTTGCTATTTTTTGATTTTTGCTGCTATCGATGTGTCATTTTTCTGCATTCTAAGTTGAAATCTCCAAACAAATACTCACACTTGTTTCTATCGTAACTATATAAATAAACAAATACCTTCCTGATATAGTTGTGTCAATCCCACAGCGGAGCAGGTTTTTGTTTGGAGATAATATCAACCGGATCAAAGTTACCTTCCACGATATCTGTTTCTTTAGAAAACATTTGCACATTATAGTGCACATATAATGAGTGACGAAAAGTTCGAAAGGGAAAGGAATGAGTGAATTTGATATATTGAATGTATCACCTGAAAGAAGAAGAAGAGTTTAGAGAGGCTGGTCCAGAGGTTTTTGTGAACGTCACACAGAAGATAAAGAATGAGACCCATTCCAACAGAGCATTTCAAAGTGAGTAAAATGTTTTAACACCTTTTACTTTGCCTGCTATTTTTTTTGAAAAAAACAGGCCCAAAACTCATACCTAAAGTGTTATTTTATGTCAATATTTCATTATATTATTGTTTATGCCAGGATAGTGATGGAATGTAAGGGATGAGGAACCAATACAGCATCGCAACCGGACAGGTCAAGAGAAAGAAGAAAGCAAAGAAATAAGTAGAACAGATAATCCATAAGAATACATTTTGTACAATTTTGAAAAAAGGGAAAAAAACTATAAAGCCAGGTAAATCGATCGATAACAACCATATATTCCAATATTTTTAGTAGAATACATCAGCAAAACTAGTTTAGGTCATATAAAAAGTTATTTGTGTTAATATATTTTGTAAAAGTAGTGTACAGGTATTTTGTTATTTTTTATTTGTTTAAATATATTTTGTAAACAAAAAAAAAGAAGACGTGTACAGGTATAGGGCAGTGTTTTTGTTTCGGTATCAAAACATACATGTGCAGGTATTACATACAGTGAAATATGTACAATGAAACCGTTAAGATAAACAAAGTATGCACGGTCATTCCTATTATTTATAATAGAAATTTTGTACAACTTTCATTGGAAGCACGAGATCGTCATGGGTTCAATTAAGTTTATTTGGATTTATGAATAGAATGTAATGTTTTTCAATCAGTAAACATTAGTAAAATGTGTACAAATCTATGTGAAATAAAATTTGATTATATGT